AGGCAGAGAGCGGCCGGGCACCATGCAGCAGCGCGGGCTGGGGCTGCCCGGGCTGCTGGCGGCGCTGACGCTGCTGGCCGAGCAGGCTCCCAGCGCCTCCGCCGCGCAGGCCGCGGCTCTGTGGCCCATGCCACTGTCGGTGGAGACGTCCCCGCGCCTGCTGCACCTCTCCCCCGATCACTTCTACATCAGTCACGACCCCTCTTCCACGGCCGGCCCCTCCTGCGCCCTCCTTCAGGAAGCGTTTCGGCGGTGAGTGCTTCGGCGCGGCGATCCCGGGCCGGTCGCCGTGGGCGAGGGAGTAGGGGAGAAACCACCTGAGCGCCTCTTAGCACCCCGCACAGCCACCCAGCCACGCCGGCGCTGCTGTCCCCATTTCACAGATGAGGAAACAGTCTCCGAGCTGGTTAGTGACTTGCTTGACCGAAGTCACAAGTAGAAGATGGCAGAGGCGGCTCGAAACACGGCATGACACCCAAGCTCTTCCCCTTCCCCTCCTAGGACACATCCTGGGCAGCCGGGAACCCTGGTTTGCGTGCAGGATACAGAATGGAAGGAGTAGGTTGCTCAGAATCTGTGGTCATGTTTGTTTTGAAGGGGAGAATGGTGGGGAGGGAGGGAAATAGCAGCTTCCTATTTGAAGGGAGTTTTAGGAAGAGGATGAGTGTTTAAAGTTTGGGCACCAGGGATTCCCCAGAGTTGGTTGTCATTTATAGGCCGTCTCCCCTCCTTCCCAATTGGTAACAATTCAGATGGCAGAAAGTCCTCAGGTTGGAGCACTCCCTAAAACTCCCCTTCCCAAATCTGTTCCATGTAAAATGTTGGATATTTTCATCTAGTTACTTCGCTATGGGCAGTGCACCTCAGCATCTGCTTTTCTTTTTGTTTCCCAGCACATCATGTGCTTGCTCTCCCAACTTCTGTTCTTTAGCAACTCAGGGGAACGGTGAATTATGGGGGAAGCAGCCCACAGCTATGCTTTGGTAACTGCATCACTCACGAGGCAGACTGCACTTGGGGAGATGTTTCAACTGCCAACCACATGCGGTCTCTGACTGTGAGACCTGTGTAGGTGAGACTGCTCTAAAGGATTGTAATTCGGTCTGGCTATACTGCCTCTTCCCTCCCCCAGAGTTTTGTCAGTTTCCAGTGGGCTTTGTAGCTTGATTGTACCTGCAGTGCATCAAACAGCTGGTGGAAAAAATGCAAAACTAGCTTAACACCTGCTGGCCCCCAGCCTAGGCCTGGGGATTAGGCTTCCACTGAAGAGGCCCAACCCCAGGATGTTGACAATAGAAACGGTTTATTTTCTCCTTCAATTTTGTACAACTAAATGGATATTATTACCTTCATTTTAGACACGTACCCTAATGAGGCTTTGGTATGGAACCCGCTAACAGGTCAGAATGGCTAGGGTCCACAAGTAAAACCAAGGTGGTTAGTTAACTTGGGATATTGGGAAGGAAGAAGTACCTGAAGGTAATCTAAAGGAAGATCACAGCTGGGAAATCTTTGAAAAACAAACACTATTTGCTTTGGGACTCAGTGTGGAAAAACGATTCTGTGTCACACTACCAGTAAAACAAGGATTTGGTAATATGCTGAAGACATGAGTATGGCAAGCTTGGGTGACATTAAGTTAACACTGGTTACATAACTAGGACTTGAATCAGCTGTGAGATGGTTTAAAACAAGGCTTGGCATTTCAAAGCAGTGCAGGTAGTTATCTGGAATTTGCCTAACTAATTCATGCCATATGTGAGGCAGCTATTAATTATACCTTGCATTGTTAGGAAGCAGGTTGTAAAACAGCCCTTGTGGCTAAGCCTGAGAGCATTCAGGTGAGTGTTCTGGGAACTCAGAAGGGGCAGTATCTATTTCAGTAAAAGCTTGATGAGGTAGGAAAGATTTAGATGATGGGGTAGATCCAAAGCTTCAGGCAGCTGGGAACACACATACCCTGGGCCCCAGATTGTTCAGAATCCTATGGCTCCTGTCTCAGAAGAGCTCGACTTCTATCATAAACTCTGCTTTGAAACAGTATGCATTTTGCAGGCAGAGAGTTGTTTGGTTCACGGCTGCTTCCTCAGCACCTCGAACAAGGTCCATCACATGCTAGTCACTCATTTTTTTTAACGAACAAATAGCTTTGCTTCCTCAGTTCCTGAAAGGTTAAATTAACCCAGATAGTGGCATACCTGAGATACTGTGGGTTCAGTTCCAGACCACAGCAGTAAAGCAAGCCTCACAATTGAGTCTTAATCTTTGTGCTGGTGGAGTCTTGCCTTCAATTTGTAAAAAACACAATATCTGTTAAGCTCAGTAAAGTGAGGTACCATAAAATGAGGTACACCTGCACCTTGAACACCACTGTCTCAGAACCCTTTGAATTTACTGTTAGAGTTTTAATATCCAAGGCCAAGGTCATTGGGGACAAGCCAGCACCTAACTCAGACCTGCTAGTAGCTGCAATTACCCTTTAAAAAATTTTAAATTGTGGTAAAATACACATAAGATTACTATCTTAACCGTTTTTAAGCATACAATTCAGTGATCTTAATTTCCTTTTGAATCTGTTGGGGTTTTCCTATGTAAGGGGCCCTCAGCACCTTCCTCCATTGTACTTCCTCACTGGTTCACTTCCATACACTTCCAAGTTCATTGGAACTTTCCTACCGCTCTTTATTTCTCTGGAAAAACACAAGATGTTCTTATACCTAAGTAGCATATACAGTCTTCTGGCTTATCACAATCTATAAAATATTTAAACAATTGCTTTGAAGCCTACCTAAACTTTTAGCATGTTCAGGTGTTTACCAATATCCTCTTTCTCTGATATTTAGGTACCAGCAGAAGATACATTTTCCAGGGCCCTAGTGAGAATACTGTGGTCTGGTGACATTTTGCTGGAAGGCAACAGGAACCCCGATTCAATCTGGCTTAAGCAATATGAAAATCATTATCTCACACGTCTGGTGGTCCAAAAGCAGGGAGGATTTTCTGGCTTGTTGGCTAATTGGCTTAAAGGGGTTATCAGGGAATCCGTATTCTTCCATCTCTGCTCTGCAGTCTTTAGTGTGGGTACAGCTGGTCCAGGCATCACATACAGAGAAAGCATTCTTCTTGTGGCTCACTAAGGGTAGGAAACTTCCTACTATCCCCCACCCCCATCACATCACTAGTCAGAATTGGCTTGTGCACTCAAGTGATTGGATTACTGTTATTGGTTTGATTACTGGTTCTTATTGGGGACTTCATATGAGTTATTTGGAAGTGTGTGTGTGTCGGGGCGGGAGGAGCTTTTAAAATTTCCATGCCTGGATCCTACTCTCAGAGATTCTGATTCTGAAGGTCTGGACATCAGTATTTTCAAAATACTGATGCGATTCTAATGTACAGTTTGGGGTGAGAGCCTCTGGTTGGACTAATATGGGGTAACATGGAGTTGAAGGGCCAGTTACAATGTTACTACCACCTATGTATTTAAAACTTGGCTACAATGATTTAAAAATTTGTTTGAATTTATTTCTCACAGATATTATGAATATATTTTTGGTTTCTACCAGTGGCATCATCGCCCTGCTAAATTTCATACTGAAACGGATTTACAGCAACTTCTTGTCTCAGTTGTCCTTGACTCAGAGTGTGACACTTACCCCAATATCTCTTCAGATGAGTCCTGTGAGTACCTGTGTAATGTGAATGTATCCTATTCAAAGCTGCTTGTTACAAACTTAAGTGCCAAAAGCAGTCTCTATGCCATGAACTATTGAGTTCTTGGCCAGTGAGCTTATAATTCCTATTTTTTAAACTACCTTTAAAGTATGATGATAAAAGTAATACATAGTCATTGTAGAAAATCTTTAAGTACAGTAAGTGAAGAGGAGGATATAAATCCATCATAACTCTAGCACTCTGTTAACCACTGTTATTTCAGATTTTTTAAATAGCAATAAGTTTAAATATTTTATATAGGTATAAATATAAACAATGACATGAAAATGGGTTAATTTTGTACATATGGTTTTGTATTTTGCTTTTTTACATAACAATACATTATAAACATGTTTCACTAAATATTTTTCCTTTTAGTGAAAGACATTTTTGATGGCTGAATAATGTTCTATCACTGTATGCATATACCACAACTAACTTGGCTAATTTCTTATTTTTGGACATCTAGGTCATTTCTTAACTTTTTTTTTGAAGACAAATCTGTGTTTATATCCATGATCTCTACTTACAATCAAATCTGACACAAAGATAACTCGGGGCAGGAGGGCGCATTTCATTTGATCAACAATATAATCAATATTTACTATGATTTTTGTTGTTGTTGCCTAAAACATTGTTCTTTAAGGCTTTTACCAAATCATTTTGGAAGCAATAAACAACTGGGCAGGCCTTTTCCACCTGGTGTATGGACTGGGAATAATACCAAGGATTCAGAGAGGAGCAATGTGAGGACATGAGTGATATAAAATTAATGTAGAGAGCTGACTGAGTTGGGAGTAAAAATAGAAAGGATAGTGTATATCTTAGAGAAAAGAGTGACTCCTCTGTCCTTAGACTGCCCCACAGACAGTTAAGTACAGATCTCTTCTTCCTCTTGGTATAGATATTTCTTAATAATCTCTGAAAAATCATTTCATTTCTTTTTCAATTCTATAGCTGTTCTTATAAGAGAAACAGAATAATTTGCCAAAAGTAGCCATGTGATTTCATTTGACAGCACTCAGACACTCTATCAATTATGTTTTGCAACCCGAATTGAGATAGAAATGGTTGTTAAATTATCAAGGAATTTTGTTGGCCGCTGGCAATACAATGACATATTACACATTACAGAAATTTGAGTCTGGAGAGTAAAAGTTTAACTTCCATTCAACTTTGCAAACCTTCTGAAGGGGAGTTTCTTAAGACAAGCTGAAATTTTCCGGTTGAAGGATAAACTAGTTTTAAGTTTTAAACGAGTTTATGATGATGATGATAAAAGTCACATACACAAATGGAAACAAGATAGCAACTGTTCCAGAGTGTGAGGAAATGTTAGAGGAAGCGACAAGTGTTACAGCATTATCTACTAATAAAAATGACATACCCTCAGAACCAGAAGTGGGCCCGTTTCTACTGTAGAGAAATAATTACATATATCAAGGATGTTTGATGCAATTTGCTTATAACAGTGAAGAATTGTAAGCGAAACTAAATTAAATGTTCATCAATAGAAGAATGGGTAAATATATCTTGTCAATCCATACTAAAGAATACTGTATGACAGCTAAGAATAAAGCAGAGTTTTAAAGAACAGACATGGAGGGTTTACCGAGACAAACTGCTGAGTTGGACAAAGTGTATGATAATGTGCACAGTAGATACCATATATGTATCAACACACACCCAGGAACAGCCATAAAGCGATACTATATTTTCTTCTTATATATGTGTATGAAAAACACCTAGGAAAAGCCGGATAAATATTTCCTCTGAGGAAAGTAGAGGGTATCAAGCGGGCATCTTGAAGAGGATTTTAGCCTTCTCTGTAATATTTCATGTTTAAAGGAGACTATATTGATATTATTTGTATGTACACCCATTAAATAAAAGTATAGTACAAAAGAACAGAAAAGGATAACTGAGAAGTCTGAGATGCCATTCCCATTTCACACCAGGGAGGTAATCACTGTTAACACTAATAACTTCGTTTTGAAATAAAAATTGAAATGCTGTAGCTTATGTGTTCATATATTAAGAAAACACAGTCTTCTGACTGCTTTATATTTGTAGTTTTTGCATTGAGTTGTATTGGAATCCTTTTTAATATCAGGCAGTCCTCAGCTCATTGGAAAATAATTAGCATCAAGTACATGCACCATGTTAATGTATTTAGATGACTCTGTGCTGATCTCAAAACTATAATATAGCAAAAAATGTTTTTTAAACTGTGATCAGTGGAGCCATTTAGGTAGCTAAGAATTTGATATAGGTGGGTAGGAATCATGGTTAAATTGTAGTCATAATAACAATACTGTTCTTGGCCTGGACTTTAGCTAACTCATCACTTGGTCTTCTGATGGAAAAGGCTACCTTGGCAGACTGTCATTGAGAGGGTCATATGATAATTGGCTGTCGATAAAACTCTTTTCCTACCTGCAGTCAACTATTGTGTGACAGACAGTCTGGATGGTGGTGGTGGTGGAGGGTGATGGTACAGCCCAGATAGGATATTAAATCATTAACCTGCAGTCCTTGAGTGTCTTTTTGTGGCAAAGTCTGCATTAGTCAGTTAGTAACCCTTTAGGTTTCAGTCTGTCTGTACCATCTGATGCTTTACTTTATCTGTGGTTGACTCCACCCCAAACTTTAAAAGACTAATAAAATGACTACTGGGGCCACCGTAGATAGTGTATGACTTCAAGAATTGAAAGATTTAGCTCCCCTTTGCCCAATATCAACCAACTGGAGCTCGTAGGTGGGTGCGAACATTTTATTGAGTGGGACAAAGCTGAATTATACTAAAGTGAGTTAGGAAGTGAGTCTTAAGTCTTTAGGATGCTGTCGGGGAAAGGTGAGTGCAGGGCAAGTAGAGAAGCACAGAATAAGGGACAGAGTGGAAATAACTCTCTGAGCTTATGGGGAGTGAGAGATTTGATACTGGAGGTTTCCAAGGACTTGAGGGCACTGAGGAATGTTTGTACATTTGACTTAAAATCTCATCTTAATTAGGACCTACTCTGTTGTAGAGCAGTTGGAGAAAATAACTCTCCTGGAAGGGAAAAAGGAATCATGGAGATAACGCCCAAGTTCCTGATTTGAATAACTCAACTGGCTAGAGGGTGGTGCTGTGACTCAGAGAAGAAGCACACAGGAGACAGGCAGGTGAAGCGTGTGGAGCAGGAGAGAAGGGGGAGTTCAGTTTGGGGCATGTGGAGTTAAAAGAATCTACAAGATGTACAGGAGGCAGTTGGAGAAACAGGTATGGAGCTCAGGAGAAAAGAATGGGTCAGAAACATCAATTATATGTTTAGGAAATGTATTGTATGTCATTGAGGGATTAACAAACAGAAACTTTTTTTTTCCCCCAATACAGATACTTTACTTGTGAAAGGACCAGTGGCTTTCCTCAAGGCCAACAGAGTTTGGGGAGTATTACGAGGTAAGGTCTTTGAAATTTCATTTTTTTTCTAGTAAAGAAATATTATTAGTTGGTGCTTTGAGAAGTCAAGAATGGCAAAATTTTGCTTCCTTAGACACTTTACAGAATGGTTTACTGGGTATTTCCAAAATGATTTCCATTAAATATATATCATTTATAACATGGAGAAATATCATTTGACCTTTTTGAAAATGCTTGAGGGTCACTACATTCAGTGTTGTAATTCACCGATGCTCTTCGGACTGTAATATTATAGTTATAAATGCCCCAACATCCTCTGATTAGGGAATTTTGTTTCGCTATCATTTCTTGCTGTCTTTAGTAGCCAGCACCTCTCTTCACCTATTAATTAATTAATCTATTTATTTATTTATTTATGGTTGTTTATTAAAGCAAAAGTTCTCACATATTTATCACTGAGCCAGACGACTACTAGCATAGCATACAAAGAGAAAAATCATTTTCCCAATAAAACATGCCCAACTGTCCATATAGTGATGTTTTCAGCTTGATATGGTAAGATGCTCATGACCTTGATGCAGCATAAATACCTGTGCTGTCTCATGTGAGATTCCTTATAGACTCAGCTTGGCTCTTCTCCAGTGTCTCCTCTGGGAGTCATACCTGATTTTATTACCAGTTTTCACCTGAATCCACTGGGGAATGGGACAACCCTGCTTTTCTTTCTTGGCCAGGAATCGCTTGATCCTGAAGGTCTTTGAAAAGACATGGTAAGGAACAGTCAGCTGCACACACCACAGTGGCAGAGGATGGGAGAGATCCCTTACCCCATTAAAAATTCCTATGGACTTAGAAACAGCCAAGTTTACAAGAACAGTATGAAAAAATAAAGAGTGGCTGAAACACTCTGGAGTGGAAGCAGTGGGCAGAGAGGAGCCTTAAAGACTTTTCCTGTGAATTTAAGAGTCTGAACTTCAAAGTTTGGGCATTGGGACATTTACTTTTGCTGTTCAGAAGCTTCTTTTTCCTCTTCTTCTAAGTAGATATTGTTGAACTGACTTCCAAATAGGGTTTTAAAAAAAGGAGAATAATTTTCTTTAATGTGAGCTAACCAACCAAAGTTATAGTAATTAAAAATAAAAATGGCTTTGGATTTCACTCAGTTTGAGGGTTGTCTGAAATAAAATAATTATTGTTACGCCATACATTTTATAGTCATAATAAAAATGGCATGATTACAATCCTGTTTCAAAATAGAACATGAAAATGTCATAGGTATTTTCCACAAATGTAACTATAATCATTATCTAGATCATTTATATACAATGTCATATGATTTTAAGTTTTTATTACTCTGATCTGCCTGTCTTGTCTGGGGTCTGTTAGGGAAAACAGAGCTTTATTGATGTTTGACCTGATCCACATCAGAATAAAGAACTTTTTAGAGCATTCAGTAACTAGATTCTAAGTCCAAGAAGTCTTAATTTTCTGTTTACCATCAGACTTTCAAAGTAACATGCTCTAAATGATAACTGAGTGTATTGCCACTTAACAGAAAATTCCAGTTATTCATCCCTCCTGTATGAGCCTGTATTTGAAGGGGAAAGCATAGCAAAAATGACTGAACTTTTTTTCTTTCCTATATCCTGTCTTTGTTTTTTGTTGTTTTTTTTTTTTTTGAGGTATAATTGATATATAACATTAGTTTTAGGTATACAACATTATGATTCAGTATTTGTATATATTGTGAAATGATCACAGTAAGTCCAGTTAACATCCATCACCATAGTTATAGTTTTTCTTGTGATGGAGGCTTTTAAGATCTACTCTTAGCAACTTTCAAGTATGCAGTACAGTATTATTTATAGTCACCATGATATACATTATATCACCAGAACTCATTTATTTTATAACTGGAAGAGTGTACCTTTTTGACCCTTTACCCATTTCACTCCCCCTCCACTTCTGGCAACCACCAGTCTGTGCTTTGTAACTATGAGCTCAGTTTTAAGATTCCAGATCCAAGTGAGATATTTGTCTTTTTCTGACTTATTTCACTGAGCAAAATGCCCTAACGGTCCATCCATGTTGCAAATAGCAAGATTTTCATTTTTTATGGCTGAATATTCATGGTGTGTGGGGTGTGTGTGGGGGTTTACAGGTCTTAGTTCAAATCTTTAATCCATTTTCAGTTCACTTTGTGTATGGTGTTAGAGAGTGGTCCAGTGTCATTGTTTTGCCTGTGGCTGTACAATTTTCCCAACACCACTTATTGAAGAGACTATCCTTTCCCCATTGTATATTCTTGGCTCCTTTGCTGCAAATTAATTGACCATATATCTGTGGGTTTATTTCTGAGCCCTCTATTCTGTTCCATTGCTTTATGCATCTGTTTTTATGTTACTACCTGTTTAGATGATAGCTTTGTAATACAGTGTAAAATCATAAAGCATGATGCCTCCAGCTTTGTTCTTTCTCATGATTGCTTTGGCTATTTGAAATCTTTTGTTGTTCCATACAAATTTTAGGACTGTTTGTTCTATTTCTGTGAAAAAAATGCCACTGGAATTTTGATAGGGATTGCACTGAATTGTAGGTGGCTTTGGGTAATATGGACATCTAACAATATTAATACGGACAATCCATGAGCACAGAGTATCTTTCCATTGATTTGTATTTTCTTCAGCTTTTTCATTAATATCTCTTATAGTTCAGTGTAGCAGTCTTTCATTTCCTTAGTTAAATTTATTCCTAGGTATTTTATTCCTTTTGATATAACTGTAAATAGGATTGTTTTCTTAATTTCTCTGATAGCTCATCATTCGTTTATAGAAATGAAACAGATTTTCATATGTTGATTTTGTATTCTCCAGTTTTACTGAATTTGTTGATTAGTTCTAACAGTTTTCTGGTGGAGTCTTCAGGGTTTCCTATATGTGTCATTTGGCAAACTGTAACAGTTTTACTTCCTCCTTTCCGATTTAGATGCCTTTTATGTCATTTATGTCTAATTGACCAGGACTTCCAATACTGTGTTGAATAAAAGTGGCAAGATTGGGCACCTCTTTCTTGTTCCCAATCTTAGAGGAAAAGCTTTTAGCTTTTCACCAGAGTATGATGTTAGCTGTGGGCTTGTCATAAATGGTGATTATTTTGTTAAGGTTTGTTCCCTCCATAACCGCTTTGTTGATTTTTCTTTTTTATCTTAAATGGATGTTGAATTTTGTCAAATGCTTTTTCTGCATCTATTGAGATGATCATATAATTTTTATCCTTCATTTTGTTAATGTATCACATTGATTTGCAGATGTCGTACCATCCCTGCATCTCTGGAATCTCACTTGATCATATTGTATGATCCTTTTAATGTATTACTGAATTTGGTTTCCTAATGTTTTGT